ATTGGCATAGAACACACTAAAATACCGTAACAATGCCGAGGTTCAAACAAGAGAGGACCTGCAAATTACTGATGGAAGCATTTCTTCGAAGTCCTGTTATGCGAGAAGTGTCAAAGCAAGGCGGCCCTTTTCTCTTGTAGAGCGCCCTCCTTCTTGCGATTTGCTAGATCTTTCACTCTTTCTCACGAATTTCCAGTTTTTTTGCAAATCTTTTCTACGAGTGTTTATTTCGCTTTCGCTCTTCCTAACAAGATTCCAGTTTCTCGTAAACTCTTCTACGTATATTTGTTTCGCTTTCTTAATATACTTCTTTGCAACGTGTTTTCGACGTTTCTCGTACAATTATTTTCCTTTCTTAACCAACCTGTTTTGGAGTATCAATGGGTTCTATAAATGGAGCGCCACACTATATCAAACTAGCCTTTTAGCAGTATATTTGAATCTTCATCTCAACTTTAAGAAAAAACCATCAGAAATTTACCTTTCAAGATCTTGCGAAAGTCAAGCAAAAATTCAAAAACTATATGCTTTTATTGCGTAAAAGAGCAATGTTCGAAAAATGTAATTACAAAAACTGTTGCTCGTCTCTTGTTGTCCCGATTTCTCAATTGTGATGCATCTACGACAAGCCGTGACAAGCTTGCTCTGCCTCCTGCAGATTTTTGGTTAGGTATGATTTGGGGCCAAGATCGAACTCAATAAGATGGCAGGGTACGTGCGCGCACGTGCGCACACTTTTCGTAATATCCTTAGGGACTTCCATGGTGTTATCCTTGTAGTACACCTAAATTTTTGTATGAAGATTTTTGGATTAACGTTGACAAGACTAACCTTGACAAAAGGTTTTTTGCTGCCCTCATACAGTTCGATTATAACCATGCCGTTATACTTTGGGACTGTCGTACCAAGCGCCGAAGGACCACAACCGAGAGCGTGCAAATACGCTAGCACAAGCCAGTCTTGCTACAGAAGATTGATTACTTTGCTCATAGAAGCTAGCAATGATTGAATACCGTAGAATAAGCGGTAAACTTTCTTCGAATTTTCTTTTTCCTCACGAAATCTTTCCAGTAATCCCATAGAACTTCTTTAACTGTATACATGAAATAACCTTGCTTTACTTTAAGCAAGCCAACATCATGGTAGTCGTTGACGCCAACGATGAAACTGTATGTCTGAAATCACAAGGTATTAATCAAGGCTTCGCTACAGCGCTACTTCCCTAGCTGCGAAGGATTTCATGCAGAATTTAGCGATTTTTAGTTCATTTTACTCTGTGGTCTATTTACGACAACTGGTTGTTTTTCTTTCACTAAAATCAAAAAGGTTGCGTCAACACGTTTCAACGACTAATTTTATCAACAACATATATATATATATATACACACACACACACACA